CAGTGATATCATCACTGGGTCTCTGTGCAACACAGACAGATCAATGCTGTTGGGATGGGAGGATGCTGTATATAGTTTCCAGAAAACATCACAGTACCCTTTCTCGGCTCTCCTCTCATAAACCCTCAGCCCTAAAGCATGCAGCAGGCTGACTCATGAGAGGAGATACACAAATATCAAAATGCCTTGATGGGTGATGTCAGTCTGATGGGGCAGGGATGTCTAATATGACTGTATTTGTACACAGACTGTCCTAGGTAACAGAGATGAGATTCTGAGCCTGCATGACTGAAAGAAATTAAATCCGATATATAAAAAGGAGTGGGTGAAGGACAGTCATGCTGAGGAAGAAAGTGCTATATGATGCTGATCATCCACCAGCCAGGAAATGGGGTGGGCTCTGACTTGCTGCAGCTACTAATGTATACTGGGAAAGTCTGTGCAAAAATGACCCGAGAGTAAGGCTAAGAGTTCATGTAAGGCTGGAGTTCAGCTTTAGGTCACTTTAAACTATGGCGCACTCTCATCGTGCATTACCGTGGTACACCACGTATTTATTGTATAAACAAATAGATGTATACTCACAAACCAACGGAAATTAAAAGCAGAATATGTAGTCCGCAATGGCGGTCAATACAATGCTGTGCCCTAATTAGGGATAAGTTGACGCGTTTCGGGAGACAAACTCGCTTAGGGAGCTCTGAAGAAGGGGGTTCGTCTCCCGAAACGCGTCAGTTTATCCCTAATTAGGGCACAGAATTGTATTGACCGCATTTGCGGACTACATATTCTGCTTTTAATTTCCTTTGGTTTGTGAGTATACATTATTTGTTTACACAATAAATACGTGGTGTACCATGGTAATGCACGATGAGAGTGCGCCCTTGTTTGCTTTTGTATATCAGTATCCAGATTTCCCGATCTTTGAAGGGCTGCACCTCCTCGGTTGGCATTCTGAATTCCTTTTAGTCTGCATGACGTTTTGAGCAGTGGTTTCGTTTGTTTCACTTTAAACTATAACAAACTACTTTGTGCACAGTGAATTGTGCATCATTGTAAGCAATTCTCATTAAACTGGTTCCCACTAAACATTGCCTACCCACAGAACAAGCAATATTACCTTGTGATGGTGGGGGTACAATGTTCTGCTTGGTAGCAACAGTGATGACCTCTTGAGGCTGCTGCGCTAGAGATGGGCTCTTCTCAGAAATGTTATGCATGGTAGATAGCGAAGATTCCGTGAATACTGTATGCACATGCTTCTCCTTCAGAGTCTGTACAGAAACGAGAGAGACCACCGTTAGACCTGATAAAAATCTGATGGAATAAATTTAAACAAAATTGAAATTTACTAAAAACATCTTTCTTCTATTGAAAGTCACCAATCCAATTTGCAGTTTGAATCTGTACCTGTGAAAGATGCAGAGAAAACAAGCAGATTGCCAACATAAATGAGGTTCACAAGTCTGAGTAAAGGGGTTTGTAGGGTAACTGCAGAACATTTTGCCTTCTACTGTATTTCTGGAAGAAAAGGACTCTTGCTGAAAACATAAAATGGAAACAAACTTACTCATTTTGCCTGCGTCCAAACCGCCAATCTACAGTAGAAAAATTGCTGGCTGTAGAACCTGCAGATCCTGACACTTATGCAAGTGTTGGATTCCTGGTTCCCGCTTGCTCTGTGGTTTGATCTGCTGGTGCCTACTATCCCCTGAAGTGACACAGAGGCCAGAAGTAGGAACCACTGAGCGCAGCAAGGGACCAGGAATCTAACACTCGCATGTCTTCCTCTGGATCAACTGTGGGTGCAGGTCTATAACTTTATTTTTTATGGTTGAACAGAATGGACTTTTGTTTTTTTTCAGCCAGACTAACTATGTTAGTAACAAGAGAAACTAATTTCCAAGTTCTTTTTTGCAGGGAACAGTTTGTTTGCATTTATATTTTCCTACTTTTATCCCTGTCCTCCCTAAAGCTAGGGAGGCCAAGCTATACATACCTTAGTCTTGGACATGTATGTAAAGGTTTTCTGACTACAGTTCTACTTTCACTTTTAGCAGGTGAGAAACTGACCGTACCTACGCAGGTTAAAGGCTGCCAATAATTATATTAGAGAGACAAAACAACAATTTTGAAAAGTGGAACTCTCAAATCTCATCTGCGGCATGATATATTGTCCCAGCATGCTAATCAGTTAAACCCCCCATATAAAGTAACAGATCTGAGCTTAATGTGGCCCTCAGCCTCTTAACACAACGCAACTCCAATGAATGAGATGAGACAACAGTGGCTCCTACTGTAATATGGTTAAAGGAATTTTCATTTATCACAATAAAAGCCTTCACTAATTATGAATTTACCTCTTTCAGTTCATTACTTTTTCCAATGATTGATGGGATAATGACAGAAGGTGGAGAAGGGGTAGAATCCGCTTTATAATCATTCAAGGCTTCCCCTGTGCCTTCTGTTTCCTGAAAGATTAAAGTGTAATGAGTTCAGCAAGCCTAGCAAAGACTGTCAAACACAAAGGGCCAGTTGTCTAGGAAACCACTTCAACCCCCAGCATGCGCAGAATGTGATCGAAGAAAGTACTGAGATAGAAGGTATTGGAATAACCCTAAGACAGATACATGAACTGGCTATCTTATCAATAGAAGGTGCTGATGTCAGGTCCTACATTTACTTACATGCGCCTCTTGTACATGGCACAATTTGCCAGTGCACAGGGGCAGACATGCAACACTGTAAGCCATCAGTTCCCTCCAGATGTTTCCTACACTAAACACCAAACTTAAAGTGTTACTAAACCCACAACAGTAAAATCAGTCTGTATATGCAGTAAAGCATGCTTGTTATACTCACTGTGGAACCTAAGGGGTTAATCCTCTGCATTGTGTAAAAACACGGTTTGATACGGTATTCTCTGATCCTCTCCTCCTTTCAGCATACCCCCTTTTGTCTCCTGTGCAGACATATCGTGGGGACATGTGCAGACCCACTGCACATGCTCAGTTTGATGTGTATTGCTAGAGATTTTTTATTTTTTTTATTTGGGGGGGGGGGGGATTGCATGTGATTAGCACAGGGCCAATCAGCGCTGTCCAGAGAGATGTCATGGGTTCTGCATCGTCCTAGAACAGAATGAAACCTCCTCCTACAAGCTTTAACCAGTGCTCTACTAGACACTGGTAGAAGTCGCAAGACTGCTCTAGATGCTGATGAGAAACGTATTTATCAGTTTATATGTACTAAAATAATTGCATTTCCATGTTCTGTGTACTGTGGGAGACCAGATATAGTGAATGCAGGGTCCGGGGTTTAGTAACACTTTAAAGCTCAACTTCAGGGAAATATCAAAACTACCCTGGCAGTGAGGCTTTCCTCACACTACCAAGGTTAAATGCTCAATCTTGTCTATGGTACTATTAAAACACATTTTACTTACCTTATTCCTTGCTTCCCTAGCAAACACTCTTCTCTTCCCTCCAATGCTGTGGGATGTGGGCAGACGCTCAGTATCCTTACTTACATTGCAGGACTGCTACAAGGAGCCCCACTGCAAGGGCAGTTTGTAATATTTCCTTGCACTTAGCCGTAACATATGTTAGTTGGATACACTGCTCTAACAACTGCCAACAACATTTGAACTAAAGAAGTCAAACAGTTATTGATATTTCAATTTTAAGTAGATCTTGTCAAATTAAAGTAGAACTATCGGTAAAAAACTTTTTGTTTTCATTTTGGATAGAGCAAGGGAGGATTATAACCGCTGTCAGATTTGTTTTTGCCATCTGTGTGGAAGATTTCAAGTTCTGTCCCACAGCCAAACGGGAAGCGAAAGAAAACCCCACCAATAGTGAAGGAAACCCTGGTTGTCAACTGGGACTTCAAAATTAGGTGTTACCAATTACTGTATTTCCCCTATCTTCCTTATCTGTTGACAACCCAAAACATTTTTTTTTTTTCACTTTCGGTGATGACAGTAAACAGGAGAAACAGAGAGGGTGAATCTTCCAAGCAGGGGTTCCTCCAGAGAATGCTAGGGATTCCTTCAATAAGCAATTCTGCATCACAGAAATGTTACCACAGACATCAGTCTTCCCACCTATCCATAAAAGGGACATTCTTTCCACTAACCACCAGTATAATAGGGCCCTCTTTCTCCAACCACTATTCTATGGTAAGGGCATTACAATGACCACCAATGTGGTAATTTTGGGGCTTGCTCTTACTTTCACGGATAATGGTTGGCAAAAAGGACAAAATGGAGAGAATAAACTTTTTAACAGGAGCACAGACAGCAACAAAAACTGACAGGGGTTCTAATCTTTCACCACTCTGCAAAAACTAGGAAAAAAAAATTTTTGCTTTAAGTTATACTTTAACCCCTCCCTTTAGTTCCCCTACAGTTTCCCCTACATAGTGCTCCATGCTGAGAAAAGGTTTTGACAAGTACCAGCTTTGCGTGGCCGTAAGCAAAAGTGATCACATGACCATTTGTCAGCAGGGACCTAGCTATGTCAGCTATGCCCCCAGGGGAGTCTCTTACAGCCTGAGATCAGAGGAAGTGGGTTAAATGATGGTGGTTATCAAATCAATCCAGAAATCAAGTGACACCTAGTGGCACAAAAGAATTACTGTGGGAGGCAGCTCCAGATTGAGCAAAAATTGCAACAAAAGCTGTTTTTTGTATTGTTACTAGGCTTTTAATTTTACCTGAAGTTCTGCATTAATTTCATTTGAAAATACCATTGCCACACTTGAAAACCATCATAATAAATGGGAGGAATACATTTAGCACTTACAGCAACTCTTCTTTAACATGACATATCACATGTGAAGGTGAGAAAAAAAAAAAAAAGTGCATTTTACCCTATGTTACTATTAAAACAGATTTAAATTTTTATTTTTTAAACTATTGCAGCTGCAGCTGGGATTCATGCAGCAAATACCTGGACAGGAGAGCCAGACTCGTCACCCTGCTTCTTCTTCTTTTTCTTCTTCTTCTTGGTTTTGCTACTGGCAGAAGTTTGGCCAGTAGTTTCTTCCTTATCTTTTTCATCATCAGAAACCTGAAACAGAAACAAGAGGTTAAACGTCTATGTATTAAAAAGGAAATGCAACCGCGAAATATAGTTCTATTCTATATGGGGCTTTTTTCTTTTTTTTTTTACTGTCCAATGATTTGTAAAATACACACACTCGTGATTCACTCACTCCAATCTAGGGATGTTTATTATTATTATTATACAGGATTTATATAGCGCCAACAGTTTGCTCAGCGCTTTACAATATAACGGGAGACAATACAGCAACAATACAAGAGGGAAAGGAGGGCCCTGCTCCTTGGAGCTTACAATCTAGGAGGGAGGGGCTAGTGGTACAAAAAGGTAGTAACTGTGGGGGATGGACTGGTTGGAAGAGTAGAAGATTCCATTATTAGCTGAGGGCAGGATAGGCTTCCCTGAAGAGATAGGTTTTCAGAGATCGCCTAAAAGTGAGCAGAGTAGGCGATAGTCTGATATATTGGGGTAGAGAGTTCCAGAGGATGGGGGAAGCTCTGGAGAAGTCCTGGAGCTGAGCATGGGAGGAGACAAAGGAGCTAGAGAGCAGGAGGTCTTGCGAGGAGCGGAGAGGACGGTTTGGGTGATATTTGGAGACAAGATCGTTTATGTAATTTGGGGAAAAATGGCTTTATATGTTATTGTTAGTGTTTTGAATTTTATCCGTTGGGCAATGGGAAGCCAGTGGAGGGATTGGCAGAGAGGGGTGGCAGATACAGACCGGTTAGTAAGGTGGATAAGTCTGGCAGCAGCATTCATATTAGACTGAAGAGGGGATAGCCTGCGATTTGGTAGGCCAATGAGGAGGGAGTTACAATAGTCAAGGCGAGATATAACAAGGGAGTGAATAAGTTGCTTAGCGGTTTCCGTGTTTAATTCCTATTGTCCGACGCCCAGGACACGATTAATTTTTTGGCCGAAAACACCCTTTTCAGCCATTGGCCGAAATGAGAAAAAAAAAAAAAAAAAGCACCGATAAAAAGGTGCTGAAAAATTCCGGCCATCGCCGCTGCTGCCGCCACTCGGTACTTCTCAGCCTTACCTGAAAAGCCATCGATCCCGGCGCTGGCCATAGAGATGTGTGATGGAAAGATGGCCACCACTCTCTATGCCCTTGGAGAACCGAAGCGATTTCACTTCCCGTTCTAGCCATTTTTTTTTTTTTTTTTTTTTTAAGCACTGGATCAATGCTTTACATTGCAGAGGAGAGATGTGGGGTCTTATTGACCCCATATCTCTCCATAAAGAGGACCTCTCACTAATTATTTCTATCACAAGGGATGAATGCATTTAGAACAATAAAAGTGATTAAAAGTTTTTTTTTTTTTTTTTTTAAAGGGACAGTGCAAAAAAAAAAAAAAAGAAAATTGGAAAGAAAAAAAAAAAAAAAAAAAAAGTTTAAAGTGCCCCTGCCCCCGTGCACACACATAGTGGTGAACGCATACGTAGGTCATGCCCACATGTGTAGGACAGTGTTCAAACCACACGTGTGAGGTATCGCCACGAACGTCAGAGCAAGAGAAATAATTCTCGCACTAGACCTCCTCTAAACGTTACACTGCTAACCTGTAGAAATTTTTAAAGCATCATCACCATGGAGATTTTTAAGTGCCGCAGTTTCACGCCATTCCACGAGCGTATGTATTTTTAAAGTGTGACATGTTGGGTATCTATTTACTTGCCGTAACATACTTTTTCATATTTTACAAAAATATTGGGGTATATTTTTTTTTTAAAATCAAAGTGTATTTTTTTTTCCAAAATATATATATTTATTTTTAAAAACTGCGCATTTCGGTTTTCGGCCAAGTGCATTTTGAATTTTAGATTTCGGCACCAAAATTTTCATTTTGGTCCACCACTAATTGAAATGTCACAAATAACATGACTTCCGATAAAAAAATAAATGCAGCCCGGCAGCAGTACTGTGACTAATATGACATGAGGTAGCTTCCAGTGTGCTGTGTCAAAAAATGCACCATGTCTGTATTTTTATCCAACACTACACTGCAACCCAAGGCAAAGAAAAAGGCTTGTGTGTCCTTCTTTCGCCAACATTTTCCTCCAAAGCTCCCCCCCTTCACTGTAAACTTCTGGTGCTGCAGAGGTTAATAGGACCTGTCATTTGCATTCATCAAGAGTGCTTAACTACGATTGCCCTTTCCACAGCTTCTATAAATGGAAACACGATCTATGAATAGAGGGGGCAGATCTAGCAATCATCCGCTCATCCTCCATTCATAGGTCCAGTTTCATTCATGGAAGCTGTACTAACAGCTTCTATGAATAGAGCAGCCGGCAGTAAAAGTGGGCACTCTCGATGACAGCCTGTCACAGCCCCTTAGTTCTATTAATCCCCAGCCACAACAAAAGAGGGGGATTGGAGGAGGTAAATTTCATTAAAAAGGACACAACAGCACATGTCCCTTGGGCTTATTTTTATTTTAGGTAACCTTAGGCATTAGGGCAACCTTGTGGTGTGAGCAGGGCACCTAGTGTGTCCTAGCAATGTGCCTGCATTAATCTGTACAGCTTAACACAGGTCACCACATAGGGTGTGAATAATACTGTAAATGTAAAATCATAATATCCATTGCTTCTACACACAGAGGTAAAATTTACCTTTGGAACCTCTTGCTCAGTTTCTTCAATTTGTGATGGGGGCACTGGCTCCTCTTCTCCATAGTTTCCCCATTCCTCTGCTGGTGCATTCCAGTCAGAACTAGGGTCAGCTGAACTCATACCATCTATTAAAATTTACAGCAAGTTAATTATATAAGCACCTTTCTACATCTAAGCAATCTTAAATAGGAAAAAAAAAAAAAAATTTCAGGTGTATGTAAATTCTATTCATGGACTTCTTATTTGCTCCTTTTTTGTCATGTAAATATACAATTGGAATAGCTTTTGTTATGTCTGCCTAATCAGTGGGAAAAAAAAAAAAAAAAAAAAAGCTTGCTGATCCTCTACCAGAGATACAGTGAGAGCTGATAATTTTCAGTGCCCTTAGCAGCATTATCAGCCCTGCCCAGTTCTTCTTTGTGGACTACAGAAGTCCACCTGCCCTAAATATTGGTGAGAAAGGGAGAGGTTCTGTGGACCTAACAATTCCTATACTAGGGAGAAAACCCTGCTCATCCACAGATAGGAGTAAAGTGAATGAGTGCTACCACAAAGACAGAAGTGTATTGATTAGAGCATTACTGGGTGAATGTAAAAAAAAAGAAAACCCAAAGAAAGAAAAATTAATGCAGTCACATCTAAAGACTTGCAAACTGTAATACCATATATGTTAAATTTTTTGGAGTTAGACACTTTATATATATTATATATATATATATAAAAGGAACTTTGGGGGGGGGGGGCTTCATATGGATATTTTGAAGCCTGGTTTAACAAATAGCAATAGAGTATAATCAAGGCTCATTCACATTGCAGCATTCATTTTGCAGGTAGTTCTGACCCATTCCAAGCACCCTGAAAATGTTTAGACATACTACTAAGAAGAAAGAGGGTCAAATTGTACACAGAACCCTGCCCAAAAAAACTATTTTACTGGAAACTTCTGAATCCAATGCAGTGTGTGTAAACACTTGAGAGCATCTGTGAGGTTATATAAAGTGGGAAGAGCTCTTCAGTTGGTTCAGTCACTAATTGTTTTAACGTTCATTCTCTAAAAACTAGATATGCTGTTCAGTCACAAGTGACATCATAGGCTGCACATTAGTTTAAAACTCTAAATGGCGAACTTCTCTGTGCATATACAAAAATCAAGCACCCCAAAGTGAAAACCAAAAAAGTTATCCCTCAGTGCAAATAAACGAAGTAACAGAATGAGATCACAAGTGAATATCAATTTCAAACAATTCAACTGTGTGGCATTTGTACATTATCCTAATTACAGGCTGCACAATGAAGAAGTTCAACTCAAGCCAAGGTTTATGGCAATGGCACACACTGCTCACTCCCAGCCAAAGTCATGTCCCCAACATTTTTCACAGACAGCAGGGCTTAAACATGGGGATCGGGACCTAAGTACGAGTGTAACATGGTGCAAAAAGATGGAGTCAGCCTTTAAAAGAGAACTAATGGCAAAACATTTTTTTTCTTCATTTTGGAAAGAGTAAAGAGGGCAAATACCCCTGTGTTTTTTGCTATCCGTGTCCCATTTGGGGAGATTTCCCTTCACTTCCAGTCCCATATCCATCACTAGGTTCTCACCGGAGCTAGGGTCCCCATTGGAAGATTACTCTATTGTTCTGGGGACAAGCCAAAATTTGTCAATTTCCTTCACATTCAATTTGGGGATAGCAGACACAAGGAAAAACAGGCCGTGAATCCCCACAACGGGGACAAAGACAGCAATAAAAAACTGACAGGTATTCTAAATCACTCTCCACTTTGTCCAACATTAAAGTGAAGAAGTTCTGCTTTTAGTTACACTTTCACACTTTGATAAAAAGCAGCACCAAATTAATTTTTAGACAGCACAGCCTTTCACTTTTTTAGGCAACATTGAATGTAGGCAACAAGCACAAATATTCTTGAATGCATTCATTTAAATGGGGAAGGGACAATAAAGTCTTTACTTACTTAGACCAGACCACTCATCGTCGATGGGCTCAGTTGGTGTGGCCTCCCATTGACTGTCAGATGCACTGGGCTGAGCAACTGGATCACCGACCGAAGCTGAAAAATAAAGAGGAAAATTCAGTATTTCCAGATAAGCAATTATAATGTAAATAATAGAAAACATCTGGTCTTATTTATCGGTGTCGGAAATTAAGAATGGTCACATTTAAACTTTTTTTGTCCCAGTGGACATTTTTTATTCAAATTTACATCGAACTGGCTGCTATAAACACTAAAGGCACAGGGCTACAACAATTGTTATTGTCAGCAACCAAAAACCAATGATAACTGACAATGACTGTTATGGAACTTTACCATGCTCTAGGAGCTGCGTTTTTATGCATACTACCAAACATGTAAGGTGTGAACAAAGCACATAGAAAACAACAGTTTTCGACTTGCCTTGCTCACATCATACATGTGTGGTGATACGCAGAAAATGCAGCTCTATGGACGTGGTGTGAACAAGTCCAGAAATAAGGACACCACACCACCTACAAAACTTGCAGTGATTTCATAGACAGTTAAATGGGTCAAAGTAGATACAGATATTCCCTGACTTGAATATTGAACACACACTGGACAATTTTGGAAGCTATCAGCTTAAAAAGTGTATCCAAAAATGTAATATGTTGTAGCTTACCAGCCATAGATGTTGTGGCTGCATTCATTTTCTGGACTGAGTGGATAATTGAAAGCATGATTGCATGGAACAGAACAGTCTACAGCAATCTGCCACCTGTGGTTTCATGAGACCAAATTGTCCTAATTAAGGCAGATATAGATGAGAAATACCTACTGACTTGCCATGCAGAGATTAACATCAATATCCACTACAATTACATAACTCGTTGAAAATGGAACACTTACAACAGAAGTCTTTCAAAATGGCCACAAAATGGTCTAACACAGACAGCAGTAGTTATGTTGTGTTGTCCTTTACATAAGCTAGGCTGTAATTAAGTGAGGTTGTCCTTCAGCACATACTGGCAGCTGTATATAAAGAATGTCAGCCGGGTAATATTAAATTGGTCACCAATATGTACGCACAGTCCACAATAATTCATACCAGACCTGTAGGTGCACAGACAATATATACGGAGTAGTGCAGAGAACCAAAATAGGAATAGAGAAAGAAAACAGAGCAAGAGACTTGTGGCCAAATTTACTGAAAAAAAAAACATTATCAACTGAAGCAAGAGTTCTACTCAAAATAAATATATGCAGAAGAGAGGTTTTTCCTCTTTTGGAGATTCTAAAATTGAATTTCACTTCCATAAATTAGGCTGTGTACTGGGTATGCATGCTTTTGACATAGCTCAGAAAGCAGCAACCTAATAAAAGCGATGCTCAGTGATAGACGTTTTGCTTTCAGATTTTATGAGTGTTTTCCTATAACTCAAGATGGTTTTCTTTATTATCTATTAAAAAAGCTGCTCATGGTTACACTTTCACATATAGCAAAATCCCAAACAAACAATCCAAAAATCCCTGAATACACCCATACAAGGCGTGAGTACAAACATATTAGGACTAAAAGGCTCTAAGCAGATATTTTTGATTGCCACGTACCAGACACAGAACTGTTTAACCCAATGGTAGAGTAAGGGGGTGGCCTCTGTTCTGATGAAGGGATCCTCGCTTCTACTGTTTTCCAGGGAGCTACAACAGAGTCAAACAGTATATTTAACTATCTACAGATAAAGCGCAACATGCTAGAGACCAGGATCAAGACGTTGCAAGAAATAGGAAACTAATAATTTAATTTCCCAAATGTTCAAACTACTATATGTTAGAGGAAACATGTCTACACTTAGAAAGTGATAAAAAGATTACAAAAACAAAAATATAGATTGTGCAGTAATATGGTGCAGTACCTATACCAGGGAAGAATGCGCGCTCGCTCCATGGGGCACTCCAGTCCTTTCCATTAGTATCCACCGCATCTTGGTTCCATGAACAAGGCTCTGCTTTCTTCTTGCCAGCTGTAGTGGCTGGGGAAGACCACTTTTCCTCTACGACTTGGGAAGGAATCATTTTAGTAGGCTTTTCATTCCAGCCACTCCCATTTACTGCAGACACCTCACTTGGGCCTGGTGATTTACAATGAAGATGATATAAAAAAAAATTAAAAAAAAGTTACATCCACAAATAATCCTAATAGGATGCCTGGTAGTGGACTGAACTGAACCTGTATAAAAATAGTAAATAAGACAAAAATTCACTAAAAGTTGCAAGTACAGTTTTCAAAAGCTCTTATAAACTAGTATATCTAGTAAAGTTTAAATACAATTCCCTATTTTCTCCTCAGAGGAGATTTCCTCATTAAAACCTTTACAAACACATGGCAAAGGTTTATTATAAGTCTTTGGATTGTTGAAGGGTCATGATGCTTTCTCCATCTGGAGAAGTAGGCACTCCAAAGGAAGCCATGCAGATGAAAAACATTTGTATGAACAAACCTTTAGATTTTCTGATATTTGTTGGTTGAGATGACACCATTGTGAAGGATTCAGTGACTGCTGTAGTGTTTTCAGGAAGATTTTCAGAGTCCGTTCCTTTGTCACGTTTGCGCTGCTGTCTCTTTTCTTTGTTGCTGATCTTAGTTTCCCAGTTTCCTATACAAAAAGAAAATAAAATGCAATTGTTATAGAGAGAACATATGGCCTTAATTGCACCATTTAAACAGAGTAATTAAGGGATCAGAGAGCAAAAGAAAAACAAATGTCTGAAATGCTCTCCCACTTCAGGTTTTAGATTTCTGAGCACACATAGGTAGCTAAAGTGCAATACCAGCGAGTAAGTTCAGTTGGTAAACTGCTCAAACTATCCAACAAAAATAGCAACTATTCTTAAAATAGTAGGAAAGGTTAATATAACTAAGGTTAAAAATATTGCCTCCCCATTGCTCATTCACATGCTGCATATGGCTTAAAAAAAGGTATTTTCAGTAAGATATTTGACACTCCTCTTGGAAGCAGCCCTTTTTGTCAATGCATAGCTGCTGCAAACAATGGCGGAGCAGTGAAGGCTGGCGGGTAACATCATGGGTCTGAATTCAGCCTGTTGTTGAGCCGCTCAATGACAAAAGAGGAGTCATCAAGTTTGGTGATGAAGTCACTGCTCCAAAGAGGAAAAACGGTATTTACACCAAGATATTTTACAAATAGTATGCAGCATGTATATGAGCAGTGGGGAGGCAACGTTTAATCCTAGGTTATACTAGCCTTTCCTTCTACTTTAAAGTGATCCTTTATAGTAGGGACACTAAACAGCTTCTGTTTACTATTGCCACACTCCCTGCAGCTCCGATCTACCGGCAGGCCACTAAGGATTCCTCTTAAAACTTAAGTACACCTTTGGAACATGTTACATGTTCCAGCATCTGCAACCTCTGTTGATCATGGGTACAATGCTCTGCAGGCTCCTTAGGAAAAAAAATCAATAAATGCATTTTTTTTTTCAAAATGTTAATGTATCTTTTAATGTTTTTTGTTTTTCCTATCTGCACATTGCACCATTTGGGCCTGAAGATTGGCTACTGAAGACAGAACTATCAAACTTCAGCTTGAGTGCCAGGAGTCAGACACTGATTGAAGTGTCAGGCCCAAAGTGAACAAGAAGCTGCCATTGCTGACCTTCTACAGACTATTATTTGCCTACCTCTCCCTTCAGTTGCTTCAATACTCTGTCCAGAACGGGTACACAGGCAACACATTTACAGTACTTGTTTCAGGTTGGCGAGGTAAGTACTGAAGCCACTGGATCATCCAACGTTCCAGGTATCAAGCATTTTTAGGAATGTTCAGCAATACCAACCACCATCTCTAAGTAAATGTTTCCTTCAAGCATGTAAGAGGAAAAATTCCATCATTGCAGATCTTATAACTTTTTTTTTTTTTTTAAACAAATGTGGCAATACCAGTTGTGCAGTTTGTCAGACCACTATACCGGTAGGTTTGGGTAGCCTGAGGCAGTGTATTAAAAAGTTTCCAGTTTGACTCAAAGCTATATACAACCAGTCTGCCAGCATACTCTGAGCTCACGCTGCATGAAAGAATTGGGGTGGTGGTGGCACTGGGGATCGGATGCTTTGCCAAACTCCTGACTGGCGCAAAGGGGAGCTTGGTGCATTGAGAACATCCACATACTGGAAGGTCCTTAAGGCACAGGGTAAGCCTTTTGCCTAAAATACACTATCACAAGCCAGAACACAAAAAGTCTGTCCATATGTTGTATGTTTATTCTAATGTTTACATACATAGTGTACATGGACTTTACTGGGCAGTGCTCAGGGCTGACATGTAAATGTCGACATCGTGTAGCCAAGCGGTGCCACCACTTACACATTACTAATGTTTATTGTTAAATGGGTCATTCATGTGGGAACGCATGTGAAGAATAACCTTGGCTAATTCTGAATGACTCTGCATAGATTCATAGCATACAATACTGCTGCATTCAGATCCATACAACTCACAGATCTGTAAGCAGCAAATTGTACGCCTGCATGCAAAACCCCTATACAGCTCATTCAAACCATGGTGCAGACACATCGGTTTTTCTGCATGTGTTCTGCATGGGCACAACAAAATTAGTTGTCTATGTGCCCTTGTCACATCAACACTAATATCACATGCAGATTTTTTTCAGGGCAGGAATATGCAATGTGTATAAAACTCATTGCATAGTGCATGAAAACCAATGTGAACTGATGTCTAAGTGAAATCTGTGTGTCAGTTTCCATCAGTTTTTCTGCACATATGGTGTGAACGAGAATATCTGAGATTGAGCAGGTGTAACCCACAGGCTACATACCCTTAGTTCCAACGAACTGAATCAAGATATTGACATACACAGTGATATAATATGGCAATGGGGTGCAATGTCTTTTCTTTGTTTACTTGTATGGGTTAATGTGAGTGCATCCTTGGGGAGGAGTGTGTGACACAATATTGCCAAAGGTATTGTAACACCCCTCCAAATCATTGGATTTAGGTGTTCCAATCACCTCCATGGCCACAAGTGTATAAAATCAAGGACCTAGGCATGCAGACTGCTTCTACAAACAAAATGGGTCGCTCTCAGGAGCTCAGTGAATTCAAGCGTAGTACCGTGATAGGTTGTCACCTGTGCAATAAGTCCATCCGTGAAATTTCCTTGCTACTAAATATTCCATTGTCAACTGTTAGTGGTATTATAACAAAGTGGAAGCAACTGGGAACAAAAGCAACTCAGCCACCAAGTGGTAGGCCACATAAAATGACAGAGGGGGTCAGCGCATGCTGAAGCACACAGAGTGCAGAAGTCACAAAGGGGTTTATTTACTAAAGCTGGAGAGTGCAAAATCAGACTCCCTTCTGCATAGAAACCAATCAGCTTCTAACCTCAGCTTGTTCAATGAAGCTTTGGCAATGAAACCTGGAAGCCGATTGGTTTCTATGCAGAAGTGAGTCTGATTTTGCACTCTGCAGACAATTTTAGTAAATAAACCCCAAATTGTCTGCAGAGTCAATAACCAAAGACCTCCAAACTTCGTGTGGCCTTCAGTTTAGCACACCAACAAAGCAGAGAGAGCTTCATGGAATAAATTTCCATGGCCGAGCAGCTGATTCCAAGCCTTACATCACTAAGTGCAATGCAAAGCATCATCCCATTGGTGAGAGCCTCCCTGGGTCCATTCTCCCTCTGACACAGCTGCTGCATTGGCGACATCATCATCACATCCGGTCTGCAGCATCATACAGTGCGGTCTTCAGGCGTCTTCCTGATTGTTGTACAATAGATCAGAGCCAAACTTCTCTGTGGGTTAATGGTAGCCGCCAACTGGTGTGTTCCTTTGGATCTTCCCGCCTGGTATGTGTTCACAGACTCATCTTTATCTCAAGTGCTGGGGATATCCTTGAGTGTACAGAGGATGGATGTTACCTGTTTCATATACAAGACTGTGGGGTTTTATTTTTTATCTCAATGACTTTGTAATAAACCTCTGTTACGGATTTTCTTGGAAGCGAGATCTATTTATCATTTATCAATTCACTACTGCAATATCCAACACCGACCCTGCTTACCAGTGCGCAGCACATAGTTTTTTATGGCGTGAACGATGCCTTAACCTAGGCAGAAACTGATAAATGAACATACAACTGCCTCCAATGTGTCAGCTGGCTTGTTATAACAAGCCCAATTACCAGTAACTAACAGCTGTGCCAATACAGGTAAACCCAGTGGACCTGACTTCTAAATAAAAACACAACTTTTCAACAAAACCACTTCCCCAAGAGGCAAAAGAGCATTAGTTCCTTGGCGCCTGGGATTTTCTCCAGCACTGCTGTATAAAAACGTAAGCACTCTTAGAGTATCACTAAAGTGAAGTAAAAACAAAATTTAAAAAAATAAACGATAGCTTACTATGCCTTATCCAGCACACACAGTATATATGAATAGCTATGGCTGCTCCTGCATGTATAGATATATAACTATATGGCTCGTGCACTACATTTTAGCAGGGTGGTTATGCTAGCCCTACATGGTGTCAATGTATCAAAGGCAGTCGCCCTCCTCAGTACATTACAACTGTGGGCTACAATACCACGTGCTGATGAAGCGAGTGGTGGCACAAAGATCATCCCTCCATTCGCTAATCATGCGGATTCCAAGAGAATTAGAGGGCAGCAATGCACACTGCTGAAAGAAAGCAAAAATATGGAGGGGCATTAAAGTCAAACTGGGACTTTTAGTTTTACAGGTATAAAAAGGGATGCTAGCGTGGTGGTACTACACGCAGCAGTAAGTGGCAAGTGTGTCCTATTACTGATAGGTGGTGCACATGTTGCTGGCCAGTCCAGAGACCAGTACTACGTGCATGGAACAGCTTGTGAATGAAGGCGTAAAACATGCAGATTTTTACAAAAGACTTCAAGCACAGTACAGTGATGAGACTTTCAGTAGCAGTAAGACATTTGAATAGTGATGCATCGAAATTTCGGTTGCCGAATTGTTTCGGCAAAAATAAACCCTATTGGCATTTTGCCTAAAAAAATAAATAAAAAAATGAACTGATACAGGTGCCGAAAATGTCCTTTGGCCAGTGCTGTAGAGGAGAGATTAAAAGAGTGCCGCTGCATCTTGGTTCCGCCCTGCTCCGTTCTGACCGGGGAGAGATGTGGGTTGCACTGACCCCTCCTCTTACAGGAGGGAGGCGCAGCTGCGTAGTGATGCCTTGGCGCATACGCAGCTTTAGTGGCCACGCCATTTGATGGCCTGGGCTGCTTTTAAGTTTGCAACACGGTGAGGGGAGCAGGCTATGCATAAAATGGGTGTCAGGGGCCGCAGGCTATGCAAAAAAATGGGTGTCAAGGGGGTTGTGACACCCATTCCCATGAACAGCCCTGCGCACCTGACACCCTTTAACTTCTTCCCACCCGGCCTATTGTACAATGGCCGAGCAGAAACCCTCTGGAGCGATCTGTCACTGGCTGTGTCCATGGGACACGGCCGATGACAGATCACTACACCGGCCCACCACCAGTGTCCATTTTGGTTTTCAGCCAAGAGCATCCTGAATTTTCGGTTTCGGCACCAGAATTTTCATTTCGGTGCACCCTTAGTGTAAACGTTTTATAGATGGCCATACGCCCGTCAGGGACGATCCCAGCTGTGGTGGTTCACAGCCCACAGCAGTCATTCCTGTGAACATTCAGCACGTGGACCGCCTGATCCTGGATAAACTGACGCACAACCTGTTGTGAATTTGAACAAGAGACAAAGCTTTCTGTGGGAACGGTGAACACAGTCATAAAGTGAAGCACGCTGTCCTAGGTAGGTTCAGGCGTACTGATAAATCTTTCTACACCGAAGCTTTCCAGGCATTAAAGGCCAGGATAAGTGTATAAACGTAACAGGGAAGTATGTGAAAAAATAAATGCAGTTTCCACTCCTTAAAATCTGTTTTATTATATAAACTCAAAATTCCCGGTTTGACTTGAACACCCCTCATATATACAGAAGATGTCGTCTGAGGCGAGAAGCACAGGTGGCCATGACTATATGTACATGATTAAAGCATCAGAATGAATTTTCAGGACAGATCAAAGTCACCAACTGAAAATATCCTTTATCAAGCTGTTCAGGAGAATAAATGACAGGCACACTGGTTTTCACACAAGGGTAACTTGTCAGCATCTGAAAACAGTGCACTGGCTTGCTTGGAATATTGTTACTATAGCAACAATGACAGGAATGCTTTAAACATTTTATTTAATAAATCTGATTTCATATAACTGTCCCATATGGTCATCCACAAAAAGGATTTTCACAGAATGCTAAAAAGTGTTTGTAACCTTAAAAATAAGTTGTAATAATCCGTCATTAAGGCTGTAAACTACTTTTTTCATATAAACGTTATTTTTTTCCAGAACTCGTCATGTAATACCTGGTTGATCTGCCAGTTTTCCTCTTCCTGGTTGTAAATGGACCATGCCAAGCATGGAAACTGATTCATGCCAGCTTCTTCAGTTTACATCCTTTCTAGTCCGGTTTGGAGTTACAGCACTGTGGAGTTGCGAGAGCACAGCTTGCTGGTATCTTCTGTAGTCAGTTTGTAGCCATACCCCCACCCATCCCACCTCTCACGATGGTGGCTTTCATCCCTGACCTTGCTGTCAACCCCCACCCGCAGGTCAATGATGCGATGAAGAAGGTAAAAGCAACTACGTGGCCTCAAACATGTTCTAAAAATGTATACAAGCTCCATTTTTTCAAAAGTAAACAAACATACGGATTAATATATATATATATATATATATATATATATATATATATATATATATATATATATTATATATACAATTATTCTAGCATAGAACTGCATGTTAACCAGTGTGCTAGGGAAGGAATGAATGCTAAACTAACTGTATGTCTATAATTAAGAATCTACAATATAAAAAATATACACCCAACATCAATAATTCACTATGTTTTTTTTTTTTGACACACCAAGAAATTTAACCCAATTAGATTATGCTGGTGCCTGTACACCAGTGGTACTAGTTCTGACAACTAATCCAGATTTTGCCTTCATTCCCTATAGTCTGAGGGGAAAAAAAAAAAAAAAAAAAAAAAAAATAAGGGTGCTTCTTCCAAGTAACTACCATTTGCGCCTTTGCAAACAAATTAGAATTACAGCAAGTTTTGGGTGAATTCTTCAATATCTAGAGAATACTTATTCAAGTGACAAATATACTGAGAGTAGAGTATATTCACATGAATTGTTTACCTTCCTCGGCTTCCTTTTTATCCTGGCTGGGCGACTGCTGAGTTTGTTTTACATCAGTCTTTGGTTTCTTTTTATTCTTCTTCACCTAATAAAATAAAAGGTGGGAACTTCAGAAACCAAGTATGCTTCCAATAGAAAGGCATTGTTTACCATTTGTGTATGTAGCCACCAAGTTCCAGTTCAGTAGAGGTTTTAGGCAGCTTCACACCTATGCATTGTGTTCATGCAGGCTAATCTGTGTGGTGCATTGCTGCTCAATACAAATGAGAACTGAAGACAAAACACAGTAGGGACCCACAAAACTACTTTGCAGTGCGTTGAAGCACACGTTTAACTGCATTAAAATTTTTCTGCAGGTCAGGTCTCTCTTACTGGGAGTCCATTCAGAATTCATGGGCTGTCATAATGCTGGGCTGTGAAAGGATCCTTAGGCTGCATTATTTTCTTTTTTTTCTACTGCACACACAAATGTTTATACAAATTACTGTCAAAATGTTTATTGCCAATATCCTAAAAAGGTAATCTGTGCTTCACCCAACAAGTTAAATTAAAATGCCAATCTCCCTAGCTGCTTTTATCCAGCAGTATAAGGTCAAAAGACACTCAGATTTACAAGCAAGTGAAAAGGGGGGGGGGGGGGGACAAAAACAAAAAACAATTAATATTTTCACCTATTCTGAAGCTGCTCCAGTCCAATCTCCAGCGGTACCCTCTGTGTGCAGACAACGGCTGGGAAATGCCTGGAAACTGACATCACCACAGACATACTATGGAGCTTCCGACGTTGGCTATTTCTCCTGCACACTTAAGCCGCCGCTGACAGCTCAGCCTGCGACCAGACAGGAGCAGCTGCAGATTGATATATTAGGCTCAGAACAGGTTTAGAGTTAGTTAGGTTTTGCCTTTACTCCCACTTTAAAAGGATAAGTTACCCTTTTAGACAAATAATAAATGCACATCTTTTTGCAGGTGAAAAAAAATAAATGTGCATTTATTATTTTTGTCTATGGGAGCCTGGAAAGCATTGCACCAGCTATCAGATCACTGATGCCATGCAGGTCTCCTGCAGATCTGCTAGAATATCTGCTTGCTGTACGGGATGTACAAGCAAGCAAATATTCAGACACGAAGCTTCAAAGAACTACCACAGTGCTCCACAGCACCATGGTAGTCCATTGAAAACTACAAGCTGACAGCTGCTAAGTTCGTCAGGACTTGCAGTTCATTCATTCACGGAAGTCTGTGAATGAATGACACGGCAGTGTGGGTGGAGCCCTGCACAGCCGCGCTGTTTTCAAATTTGACAGATAGTACAGGGCAGGGGTAGGCAACCTGCGGCTCTCCAGCTGTTGCAGGACTACAAGTTCCATCATGCCTCTGCAAGTCATAGCTGTAACTGTCAGTTTTGTAATGTTGCGATGCCTCATGGGAAATGTAGTTCCACAGCAGCTAGAGAGCCGCAGGTTGCCTACCCCTGGTATAGGGGGAGGTGGCTGTGGCTATGGGAACGTTACATTTTCCAACCTAAAAACGGGTGGAACATGTAACATATTCCCAAAGGTGAATTTATCCTTTAATGTTCCCCCACAGCAGATGCACCATTTTTTTAGTCTCTGCTTCAGCCAGCTGAAAGGAAGATATAGGTGACAGTTCCAACGATAAAGCATAGGTTCACTGTAAAGCAGAAAATTGCATTCCACATTCCTGTAACAGTTAAGACTTTCAAAGTCAGTTATTAAACCATGCCTCATTTAGTGCCAAGCCTGCTACAATCAGGGATGCAAATAAATGCTTTTTTTACTTACAAAACAGAACAGCAAGCATATCAAGGGGACTTAACTGCTCATTGAGATACTTAAAAGGAAGTATTCTGCAATATTTAGCACAGATTTATTTTACCCAAATAAATGAATATGTAGCACTTGAACATAAGAAAGTCACCTTTTCATTCTTCTTCTCAGCATCAGGTGGCTGTTTCGGGCTCTCTTTTTTGACAGGAACAATCACCTCTTCCTCAGCAAGCTCTACTGGGCGACCGTTGGGCTGAAAAAAGAAAAGCAAAAATTATGAAAGAATTGAAGGTAAAAATTAAGATCGTTAAAGTTAAGAATGTTATATCTGCAAAATAGAAACTGCAACCCAAATTTTGGAAAGGAAACAAAAAAAAAAGAAAAGCGCCCCCAAATCCCTAAAAGGTATAGATTTTTTTTTTAAATATTTCTACTCTGTTGTTGCTATTTTTGCTTATTACATGGTAGGCCTTTTTTTTTCCTGCTAACTGCAGGTATTCAGCCTCATGTACACTGGGTGTGTAGCCCAGGTGCATGAGACTCTGGCATTTAGGTGCGGGTGGAAGGTAGAGGCACAGTCCAACCCTGCTGCTGGCTGTCTTTAAACTCTATGAGAGGCTGTCAGCTGCTGTGGCTGGACAGGAATTACACTGAGGGCTGGTTCACACAATGCCTGCACATGAATCGCTGAAGAATACGTTGTGTTCCTGTGAGATGCAATTTCAACCCATTCATTTTTGAATGAGCTAAAATCGCACTGCACCAATAGTGCATGCACTAATTTCTAAAACACATTGTAACCAGATTGCATGGTACAAAAGTACCATGTGATCCAGTGCGGGCAAACGCACTGCGTTTGCGACCTGCGTTTGGGGTGTCGCTAACTTTCTATTGACACCCGCTTCAGATCGCAAATACAATGCATTTTGCATATGGTCTGAATCGTACAGGAATACACAGCGAGATCCTGTGCAATTCTAGTGCAGGTATGATGTGACTTAGCCCTCAGAGCAGTAACCATCCAAGGGTGAATACCTGGGAATGCAGGCTGTCTGAGTTCCAAACATTGCCTCTGGATGCAAACTAGCCAAACTGCTCTGAAGTACCATGTGGTGCACCACCTTGCCCCATCAGCGTCCCTAAACTGCAGGCACAGCAATCAGCACATTGTATAGTAGAATTCCCTCAATACATACTGAGGACAGGGAATAAATAAGAACAAGCCTAGAAGCAGCCCAAATTAACTTTTTTGTTTACCAAAATTGGTCTGGTTTCCGTTGATTTCTATTTCTGTTTGGTGGAGCGCCTTATTTTGGGCCAACACAAGAAGAAAGGGCTTTGCTATGTGATAGAAATCATAGTGCGAGACTGTTCTTGGAGTAGTAATATCCCATCTACAACGTGCATTGGATAAATGATCGCTCAGCCTTGCTTAATCCTGAAATAGCTTGGAAGCCCTGCTGCTCAGCAAAAGTAACCTCACACTTTTTGAAAGGTTTATTAGTGATGGCAAACATTCCTTTCCCAACGATATCATATAGGTCAATGTTTGAACAAATGTTTCTATAGATTTGCAAATATCACTAACACAGACTTTTCTATGGCTGTCAATGGAAACGTGTTCCCTGGTTACCAATTTGTGCATTACTAACAATCTTGTATTTAGCTCTAGTGGTCTTAAGGGATTAGGGTATCCACTAAGGAATGGAACGATAAAAATAGGATTGCGTATTCTGATCTTCTCTGCAAACTTTATTCCCTAACCAGGGAAAAATCAAGGGAGCACAATCTTTACTAGTAATGGATAGAACCTTATCTAAACTCAAGGTTTTAGTCTGCTGCAAATATTTAAGAAGGCTGAAGGGAGGGTGGTGAGTTAAAAGTATATAGAAATGTACCCGTTAACTACATAATTAACCTCCCTAGCGGTCTGATTATGTCCATATTTCTGTGCTCAAAGCGGTACATTTTTTTTGCATGGAAATATGTATTTTGTTTATTGTAGGCCTGTAATTTTTAGGAATAACTCACTGAAATCTGTCCGAACAAGAGTCTAGTAAACATCCCGGGTATGATAAAATTTAAAACCCGAAATCATAAATTATAATTTAATAAATATTCATAAAAAATAATAATATAATAATACATTTAATAATATAATCAAACCAAAAACACTGAAATTTGAAATATAGCGCCAAGTTCGCACATCACTGAGCAAAGTTGCAAAATCGTTTTCAGTGTCTGATGACGAATTTCCCCCACGAATCATTATCACTCAATTCTGCAAGTGGTTCTGATTTACTATCGCTGTTCTCTAGCTGGTCTAAAACCGGTTTTGACCTAAAGGGACACTTTTTGGACGCCATGGACGTTTCTCAGTTTCCAGGCAGAAAGAACAGTAAAAATGCAGGCAGGGCACAGGACAAAGCACTCGGGACAAAATGTATATGAAATGGTTTGATACAGTAATGTTTTACTATGTGATTTTAGTGTATTGAGTGAATGTCACTTTTTGTCATTTTCATATTTCCCGCCGTTCCGTCCCCCGTACGTCCCGACGCTCGCAGGGGACGGAACCCAGATGACAGATGCCGGCATCCGCCGGATTACATTGCCGGGGACACCGCAGGAGGGACATCACGGGAGCGCAGGACAAGATAAGTGAACAGATGCCGGAGCAGCGCCACATGGTAAGCCCGAGTGTAGCTCGGGGTTACCGCTTTTGGTACTGAAACTTTACCCCGAGCTACACTCAGGAATACCGTTAGGGAGGTTAAAGGAGAAGTCCACCTTTCTCAACATTACATCCATATTTAGGGTGCAACATGGTGAGCATCAGTCTCCTCTCCTCCACCTGACCCGCCGCCTCCTTGTGACAGCGGGCTGGGGATCTTCTCCCTGTACCCGCTGTGACAATTTGAAACAGCTAGGCTGTGCAGGGCTCCGCCCACAAGCCCACGTAATTCGTTTACAGAGTTCCGTGAATGAATGAACTATAACTATCATCCACCACTAAGGCTATGCACGGCCTTGGCTGTCAATCACTGGGTCCTGACCGGTGATTACTCACCGGCACCCAGTGACCGTGCAGCATTACCGACGGAGGGAGAACTGTAAGTAAACAATACAGTTCTTTCCCCTATCAGCTCCTGCACACTGTTTTGCATGGCTATGCATAGCATAGCAATACAAAGCCATGTGCTTACAGTGAAGCGCACACACAGCTTACAGTAAAACAGCACACAGTTAACCCTTTGATCGCCCCACGTTAACCCCTTCCTGACCAGTGCCATTAGTACAGTGTCAATGCTTTTTATTAGCACTGATCACTGTATTGGTGTCACTGGGGATGTCAGTGATACCAAGTCAGTTCTCCCCAGTGTCAGAATGTCCGCTGCAGTCCCACTATAAGTCGCTGATCGCCACCATTGCTATTAAAAGTAAAAACAAAATGCCAGTATATTTACCACCATTTCTAAACGCTATAACGTTCACGTAAACCAAATGATTTACACGTATTGGGATTTGTTATTTTTAGCAAAAACATGTAACAATACATTTTGGCCTAAATTTATGACGAAATTAGATTTTTTAAATTTTGTTTACTGGACATGTTTAATAGCAAAAAGAAATATATATTTTTTCAAAACTTTTTTTTTGCGCAAAGACAAAAAAACCCCCAAAAAAACGCACAGGTGATCAAATACCACCAAAAGAAAACTATTCGTTGGAAAAAAAGGCTGTAAATGTCATTTTGGTGCAGCGTTGCATGACCGCGCAATTGTCAAAGTAATGCAGCACCGTAATGCAAAAAATGGCCTGGTCGGGAAGGGGAGTAAATCCTCAGGAGGGCGAGTGAGTGGTTAATTATATCTATCACAAGGGACGTTTGCATTCCTTGTGATAGTAATAAAAGTGATAAAAAAAGTAAAAGTATTTTATAGAATATTAATAGAAATAAATACAATTTTTTTTTTAAAGTGCCCCCGTCCCCCTGTGCTTGTGCACAGTGGTGAACGCATACGTAGGCCATGACCACATATGTAAACAGTGTTCAAACCACACGAGGTATCGCAGCTCACATCAGAGCAAAAGCAAGAATTCTAGCACAAGACATCCTCAGTACGTTTAAACTGGTAATCTGTAGAAATTTTTAAAGCATCATCCATGGAGATTTTTAAGTACCATAGTTAGGCGCCATTCCACGAGCATGCGCAATGTTAAAGCATGACATGTTGGGTATCTACTTGGCGTAACATCAGCTATCATATTTTACAAACAAATTAGGGTATATATTGTGTGTGTTTGCTTGTTTACTCATTAAAGTGTATTTCTTCCCCCCCAAAAATTTGTGTTAAAAATCTATACATTTCTAAAAACTGTCCATTTTGGCTTCAGTTTTCGACCAAGTGCCTAGTGTGAAAAAAAACAAAACACACATTTAGTAAATCCAACGTAGTCCTACTGCTTTTCTGATGTCACCTGATGTCTTTTCCTGGTTCAGACAGCCGACCCCCTAATGACATGCCACCAGGTCCTCCCTGTTAGAGGGGAGAAGTTTGTAGGGATGAGGATTTTTCGTATGAGTGAAAGTCCCCTATTGGGTGCTATTAAAAAGTGAACATATCAAACCAAAGGCTAATGTTACATAATTGACCCAATGTCTGAAATGTTATGAAACTTAGCAGGGCACAATCAGGCCTCATAAGCCATCCTAGAAAAAGGATAAAACCTTTTAGACTAAAGAGTTCACACTTAATGGTGGCCATAAACGCCTCCAGAGATGATCAATTTCTTTTCTGATCAAGCTCTTATCAGAATAAAATTTATCTATAGCCGACAACCTATTCAATCGATATATGCGACACACGGGAAGTAAATTTTAAAACCAATAATTAAGATGTGATCGTAACTTATGATCAAAAGTCAATCACATCTCTGTTTTCATCATGCAATCTCATATTCTGAACAATCAAATACAATCATAGTCACAAAAGTATATCATTCTGTAATGTACAGCGCTGAGCGAACTATTGGCGCTTTATAAATACTGCATAATAATAATAATAATTGCTGGCAATCAATACAAAACGATCGATAATTTTCTGCCCTAGATAATCATTTCAATTTGGCTGTATCTGATCGAAGCCAACTCTAAAATCGATCAGAAAGGAAGTTATGGCTATTTGATTTTGCAGATTGGATAAAACTTTAAGAAAAAAAAAAAAAAAAAAATCAAAAAACGTGTGTACG